CTCTCTCTCTCTCTCTCTCTCTCTCTCTCTCTCTTTTCCATATCCCGTAGAGTGGTTAGCTGCAATGGAAGACCGATGAGAATGAGGTAAAAGAAGAGAGGCTGTCTCTTATACACATCTAGATGTGTATAAGAGACAGCTTTTGCAGTTCACATGCCCTCACTTATTTTTGGGGATTGCCGAGGAGAGGGGGGAGCTAAGGGGCGGGGCGGTTGTTGACACATTACAGTTGTTTTTTTTTTTTTTTTTTTAGGACATATGTTTTTTTCTTTCTCTCTGTCGTTTGTTTCTCAGACAGGCAGACACATAAACGTACATAGAGACACACACACACATAGACACATATGTGACAATGCGAAAAAGAGAAGGAATTTTTCGATGTAGTGATATCTCCATATGTGACAATGCGAAAAAGAGAAGGAATTTTTCGATGTAGTGATATAATAAAAAAACAGCTCTCTCTCGCTCTCTGTCTGTCTTTGTTTTTGTCTCTCTTTCTCCCTCATGGAGACGGAGGAGCATGCAATGGAGGAGGAAGTGTTTGTTGTTGTGCTCGCGGCCTTGTCTGCGGAGTCACTTGCTGGATGTCGCCGGGAATGAGAAGCATGTCGCCTCGTTGGAGAATTTGTCGCAACATGTTTTGAAAGGATTCTTGTTCGTAGGCAGCAAGCAGCCGATTCTTAGGGTCGACGATGTATGCGACCCTTGTCATTGGAGCATGCGATGAATTGAGTGAAAACACAAAGAATATAGCGTGTAGAAAGAGAAGTCAGAACTCCGTCTCTTCGTGCCTTGTTTGTTTCTTGTTGTTTCCGTTTGTTGTCTGTTGCTGGTCCGTTCGTCGGTGTCCTTCTTTGCTCCCGGTCCGTTTCTTGGTTTCCTTCTCTGCTCCTTCTTTGTCTGTCATCTGTTCTTGTGTTTGCTGTATGTTTCCGTGCCTTGTATGTTCTTGGTCCGTTTGGTGGGCATCGGTGCTTGTCGTCTGCTGTCTCTCGCTCTCTCTCTCTCTTTGCCTCTTTTTTTTTTTTTCTCTCTCTCTCTCTCTCTCTCTCTCTCTCTCTGTGCCTCTTT